TGCTTAAGAGCCGAGCTGTCCTGCAGCAGTTTCGATTTGAGCCACAAGCATTTCTCTTTTTTTTTTAGTTACATAAGCACTTTACTGCATCCTGCTAACTCTTCAAAAACAACACTTAAATCCTTCCCTGTTCTAGTCTGTACTATTCTAGACAATGCATGAAACTTTGTATTGTTACCACTTCTCATGTTATTAAGATGAATCACTAGTATTGCTCATTTGTTAGTCTTTGGATAAAAGTGTCTGCTAAATGAATAAATATAATTGTAAAATACTTGTAAATAACTATATTCAAAAACTGACCAGACATTTCAGGAAATGTATGATTTTAAGAGTTCACACGTTTTAATGACATTTACATTCTATTTCCAATCATTTGTGATAACGGGAAAAGGTTTTACTTTTTTTTTTTTTCATTCACAATTAGCAGTTTCTCAGCAATTTCTGCCTGATGCAATATTTTAGAGATAAACATAACTGAAACAAAAATGACATTCATTATAATAATTTCTATGACTTCTCCATGGCTAGAAATCAAACTTTTACATCTTTTAAAATATTCAGGATCCCCTGGTTCTCAAATAAAAATGACAGTTGTTGAGTAAAGACATTAAAATAAGAAATATTTTTTGATTTTAGGTGTTTTAGCTTTCACTGTATAAAATCTTTTGAAATGGTAAATCAAACAAAGATTATGGGAGTATGCTTTACAAGAAAATACTATTTCAGTCTGTCTCTCATTTGTAAAATTTCCAAGCAATTTCACAGTGTATATGGTCACAAAATAAATTTGACACCATTTTTTAGTGTATTTTATTGGCCATTTTGTCTTAATTTAAATCATTTTAAGCGCTCTTTTGGAAATGTGCTGAGGTCTCCTAGTAGGTCCCGGTCCACTAGTTGAGAACCACCGGTCAAGATGTATGATTACATATGTGTGCCATCTGGGTATCTTACTTATCTTATTAAGAAAAATTCTATGGGAAAACCCACCTTCAAGTCAAGATGAGCAATCCTGCATGTGTGAAGGTAGTGTAAAGCTTCGAGAATATCCCGTAGGTAAAGAGACACCTTTTCTTCTGTCAAGTTCCCCCAGCTAACAATATAGTCCAGGAGACGACCTTGATCAGCACTGATGTGCAAAAAAAGGAAAAAAACAAAAAAACAATTCCATCAGTCTTAAATTAATGGTATTAACATTAGCATTGCCATTATGTGTGGGAATATACTGTTACAGATAAAGAAGAGAAGTTCACATACATCTCCAGGATGAGAACGTAACTGGCTGGGGTCTCGTAGGTATCCAGCAGGCCCACCAGGTGAGGATGCTGAAGACACTGTAGGACACCCAGCTCTTGAACCACATGCTCTCGACGCATTAGCTTCTTATTTACTAGCTTAGCGGCCACTGATCGCCTGTTTCCTCTTTGCTCACACCACTTAGTGACGGCAAACCTGCCTCTACAGACAGACAGAAATTAAACATTAACTGGTTTAAAATAGCTATTCATAGAGATAAATGACTGTGTTTTATTTCACATCTACATTTAGTTCATTCAGAATGCTAGAACATTTCATTCGTACAGTACCTCCCCAGTTCCATGACTTCAGTGTAGAGGGACTCAAAGTTATCCTTCCAGAGGATCCCGTCACAGGAAGTGCCTACAAAAAAAAAACAACGTTGGTGACTTGACTCGACTACTATTACAAATTTTTGGGTCCCACTTTATAGTAAGTGGCCTTAACTACTATGTACTTACATCAAAAAATAAGTACAGTGTACTTATTGTGTTCATATTGTATCGCAAAACACTTTTGCTGCTATTGAGGTGGGATACGAGTAAGGTTAGGGACACGTTTGGTGGTCTGGGTAGGTTTAAGGGTGGGTTAAGGTGTCAGGGATGGGTCAACAGTGTAATTATAAATGTAATTACAGATGTAATTACATGCAGGCATTTTTAAAATATAAGTACAATGTAAAAACATATATGTACACAATAACTGCATTGTACAAAATGATTCATTTAAATGTAAGTACATAGTAGTTAAGGCCACTTAATATAAAGTGGGACCAATTTTTGTTTCGAGCAGTGTTAACTGAAACTCAACTGACCAAGCACCCTGAGGTAGGCTGTTGATGTCACTGAGCCCACGTCATTAGAGGCGATGCAGGTGTAGGTGCCGCTGTCATCCAAAATGGCAGGTGAGATTCGGAGGGTCACTTCCCCCGTCTCACTGAACAAAAAGTAAACAATTAGGTGACAAAAATGTATAAATTGTAATGTATCAAAACACAAATGTACAGCAAAGTCTATTTTAAAAAAATTGGATTCCTGGAATACATAATCAGATAAAATATAATGGTAACACTTTACAATTAGGTTCCATTAGTTAATGTTAGTTCATGTATTAACTAACATTAAAAGAACAATGAACAATATATTTATTACAGTATTTATTCATCTTAGTTAATGTTAATTAATGAAAATACAGTCGTTCATTGTTAATTCATAGTGCATTAACTAATGTTAACATGCACAACTTTTGATTTTAATAATGCATTAATAAATGTTGAAATTAACATTAACTAAGATGGGTAGAAGTATTATTCATTCTTAGTTCATGTTAACTAATGTAGTTAACTAATGTTAACTAATTAACCTTATTGTAAAGTGTTACCAACATAATGTATATAATGAATAATGACCACTAAACTATATATTGACTGTTGTCCCAAGCCAATTTGATCTCACAAGCAAAATAAATAATTCTCACAGAAGAATAAAATCAAATTTCCACTCAAATTTCAACTCAATATTTCATGTACATTCATTTATTAAAGCATTTCACTTATTTATTTGGTAAGTCACGCAAATGTACAAATTAATTTACAGACAGCGAGACATAATCAGAAAAGAAACCACTTGTGGATGATACAAGATGCTTCACATCGGAGTCCAGATCATTTTTGTGATAAAAAAACTAGCTGATAGTACATTACCCTGTAAATGTATTCTTTTATGTTTTTAGTTTATTTACTAAATAAACGTATTTATTTACTAAATATGTGTACATTTTTACTTAATATATTTAACTTTTTTTTTTTAATTTGTACAACTTTTTTAAGCTTTTATTTTTGTTAAATAACCCAAATTATTTTTTAATTTGGGTTATTTAATTTAATTTTAATTTTAACTTTTGTTTTTTTTGTGTGTGAACTTACAACATTTTAATGTTCGAGTACATTTTTACAAAAAGTATGCACTTCTAGGACCTCAACGAAGGTGCTCAACCATAAAAAATAACAAACAATGAAAACAAAGTTGGCACACCATAGCTCCAAAAGTAGAAAATATTTATATAATAAATAAAATATTTATAATTTCTCACCAAAATTAACAGTTCGAGCCATGTAGATTTTAATCAAGAGCCACATGGCTCAAAACAGTACTTTTGGTGAGAATATGCCATATTTATTTATTTATATTAAATAATATATATATATTATTTAGCGATTCAATTTTACAAATATGTAATTAGGAATTTTGATTTCAAGGAAATCAGATATTGTGCAAAAATTAGAGATTAAGTTCGTCTATCCAATAGCAATGACAAATTGTGAAACTAATTGAATTTAGTTTTTTGTCCAAATAACCAAATGCTACCAAATGTAGTCAGTGAACAACATTAACACAATTTCTCAGAAAGATTAGCATGCAAAATGTTTCTTTCAGTAAACAGTTATGAAAGTAGCAAAATGACTGTTCAAACTCGATCGGAAACCATAAAGCAAAAGTGCCCCCTGCAGTCTGTATAAGTGCATGACATGTACAATGATGTCTGTGTCCTGGTTTTACCTGTGTGTGAGTGTGTATCTTCCACCATTGCTGAGAGTGCTCTGGTCAGGCCCTCTCCAACAGACCGAGGCTTTGGGCTGCCCACAGATCTTACAGCGGAGAGTTACACTGTCGCCCCTGTCGCACACCACCTCACTCAAGGGGATCACAAACTCTGGGGGAACTGCTGCGAACAAATCAGAAACGTAGTCATTTGGCTGTTTCATTATGACACAAGAACAATTTATTCTATGCAGAGAGATTTCCAAGAACGAAAGAACAATATTTTTTACTAACCATCATAAATGTAGTTGGGATTCAAAAGCTGCAAAAAATGAAAATTAGCAATGATGTAATAGCTGAAAGTTCATATGTAGAAATTGTCATCACCATGAAATTTCATAATGAGTAATGATTACGTAATGAATCATTAGACTGTCAAGGCAGTACCTTTACAGAAACCTTATTTGCTGGTCCATCTCTAGACTTGCGATAGCCATTCTCTGGTTTGCTCTCCTTCCTTCCCTCTTTTTCTCTCTTTTCGGACTTTCGTCTGACGCGTAGAGCTGTGTGCCACGATGAGGACTTCCTGATTGACAAATATAGCACTGTTTTAAGAGAGCTCATTCACAGCTAGATTATAAATATCCGACAACAAACAAGAAGTCAATATTGTTTTAAAAACGGTGGTGTCTTCTTTCACACTTGCAGTCTAAATTTAAGGTTAACATGAACTCTAAATGAACTTACTTACATATTTAATAAACATTCTTAATACACATCTAATTTTGACAGTTTATCAGTGCACATTCCCAAATGGCAAAAAAAATTCTGACAAAAATATATGCCAAATATATGCTGTAAACAGAGAAGCTCAATTAAATATATTTTTGATATAGAGTATGTATGTAGTTTCAACCCTTCTATACCAAATTATTGTACCAAATACATTTCCAATCTTACAGTAGCCTACATTTAGGGTAAATGCGAATGTGGATGGATCAAAACTACATTAATAATTGAATAATGCTTATTTTAGTAGATCATTTATATTATTATTATTTTATAAGCTTATTTTATGAATTTTATTCAAATGTGTTATATGATGTGACATACGTGAATGTATTTTCTTGGATTGAAATATATAGTGCAAAATGTATTTTTTTCATATATTTATATTCTTTAAATATAAAAATATATTGGTATAAAATATATATTTACGCAAATATATTTTAAAGCATATTTTAGCAAATATATTTTTTTGACAATTTTTGTATATTTTTAAATATATTTGAAGACTTATTCATGAATTTAAATAAATATTAATTAATGTATTTATTGTTTGCTGTATGGGTTATTCCAAAGAAAGCTTCAAAAATTTAAAAACTATTTTCATTATTATTTAAATGTTTTCAAAACCCAGTCAATTCCTTATGAATAAAATCAAGTGCCACATGTTGAGTATTCTCTTTTAATTTTAAAATATAATATGGAAGTATAACGGGTTTTGAGGCTGTGTTGCTGCAGGACCCATTGTCAAAATATATATCGTATCGTATCATATCATATCATATCATATCATATATATCATATCGATCATTTTCATATTGCATATTTTTCCTATTTTAATTTTTGTTTCAAAAGTATGGCAAAAACTGGTAAAATGTACCAACAATCACATTTAAAAAATATACACTTTTTGATATACCATAAAAAAAAAACAGGTAGCCCATCTGAATTAGGACATTTAGGCTATCCATCTAATAGTAGCCTACCAAAATCTTATTAACGGTAGAAATAGAGTTGGTCCCATCAGGCTAACGTGACAGTCACGACTCATGCAGCTGTAAGGTTTTCTTTCTCTTTAGATTTTACTCGCGATCTTTACAACACTTACATTACATTACGTATTTCATGGCACACTCATTTTATGCGTATTTGGCACCACCTATTGTTGTGGGTGTATTATTGACATGTCAAAGTCTAGACCCTGAATATAAGACGACCGCGGTTTTTTCAGATGTATTTCCAAGAAAAAAACACCGTCTTATATTCGGGACAATACGGTAATAGTTTTATTTATTTCTGATGCAACTAGTAATTTTCAGCACATTAACATGCAAAAGACAGCAACATGGATAAAATATAGAAATCTGCTGCTTGTTTGAATAACAAAAATTGCAACGGTCAACCCATGTGTTCCTGCTTCACTCTAGAAGTAACTAATCAGTCAATCTATAATCAATAACAATTAATAACAAATCCTCACTTGAGGGTTCCATCAGGGTAGTCGGGAATAATGGTGGAGGTGTGCCCCAGAACATAGCCAGGGATCCAGCCCTCGGCTGCTGGGCCTTGTTCTGTGGCGGCACGGAAAACTAGAAACATGTTTTGCTGGTTAGAGGCCAATGTCTGCACAACCTCTCCTTGATACACACTGATCTCATCTTCTTTTAGAGCCACATAGTCCTGGGTCACCAACATGGTTGACACACTGCTGCTGCTGCTACTTTCACTCTAAAAGCAGAAACATAGCAAAACATCAGAGTAGCAACTTTTACATTATTTATATTTGATGAAGTATTTCTGTAAATGAAGTATGTTGAAAGACATTTAGTGAGCTGGACATGTCAGAGAGCAAGGATAAAGCAAGCGAGAGCAGTTCTAGGAAAAGATTTACAAAGGAAAGTTTTAGTTTACAAGATCCTCTTCCGAGTTACACTAAAGAGTCGTTCACACTGACAGCTCACAGTTAAATTGCTGATGGCTGTCTAGACGCTGTACTGTGGTTAAGTGTATCATGAGGTGGATGGCGTGAGCTCAAATGTCTATGTTCCCACTGACAGTCGCCTCAATGTTGAACTCTGTCACATCATCAGCGGTCTCAATCGCTCATGTTGCTTCGAATCGCTTACTCTCATTAAAAATAAACGACTTCTGGCCTCTTTGTTGCTGCAAATTGCTTTCAGTGTGATTACCCCTTAAGACTGTTGGTTAAATGAGGAAATCTAACGCCCTTAAAGACCCCATGAAATCAACATTGGAGTTTTGTGGTCTTTTAACTTCAAAACCATCTATATGCTAGTGGACTGCTAAAAGCTGATATATTTGAACAGAAATATCCGATTATAAAATGTACAGTCTTTCTCTTCCAGGAAACAGACAAAATATGCTGATGCACTCATGTGCGTACCCAAATGTTTTGTCCAATAAAATGCTCTCTAGAATGAGAATATAGCTCCCCCTGGTACCCCTATGCTTCAGACTGGCTTCTGATGCAAATAAAGCCTATTTGCTATTTAAAAAAAGGAAAAGCCCCTTGATATGTCTCACTCCAACTTCCTTTTTCAATAGTAACTAATGGGCCTTTGACACCCCACAATATGCTTTTAAACAGAATATCCCAAAAAGCATTTTTGAAAACTGTAAAAAAGCCGTAAGCAGGTTAAAAAGAAAAAATTGTTAGTAATTGTTAGTTGGCTGGTTTATGTGCTTCCAATGCTTGCGTATTAGGTCTTCTCAGGCAATTAGACAAAGAAAATCCTGCCAGTTCAGAGCAGATATAATCAGCAGAGATAGTCAACGGATGTACAGAGTTTCTGAGAAACTCTCAAGGAGTTATCCTGGTTAACAGTGTACGTTGTTAGTTGCTCAGCACAGTCAAACCAGGCCAGTTAATATCCACAACAGGCTGTGAGAATCCTCTTTTAGTTCCAGGACAACGCACATATACCCCAGCGGGTTAGTATGAAGCCGGAGGTGGAGGTGAAGCAGGACTAGGCCTCACTGAAGCCAGGAGCTAGAGATTGGCTCTTACCCCATTGCTGTGAGTTGAATGCAGGGACTGCTCACTGGTGGAAGAGCAAGTACTGATACGGTCCAACTCCTTACTGTGGGTGGAGTGCCTGCGAGTCTGACACTGGTTGCGACTCAGTGTGTCACTCTGCTCTGTGTAAGAGCCAGGCCTGCCAGTAGGCGAGACTGGCATTGAGGCCCAAAATGGGGAGCCTTTCTGGACTGTAAAGTTCTGAGGATTTAAGGGGGAGAGAGTGGGCAAGGGGACTTTGAGACGGGGCTTTGTTAGGGGGAGAGACAGGGGTGCGACTGTGGCTCTTGGAATGGGTGTCCCTGATTGGGTATCCTCGCGTAGCTCCTTTAAGGTGCTCTCCAGAACCCGCATCCTAGGGACCTCACCGTTTAGGTCCTGGTCAGGAAGAGGACACGTACCTGAAGTGTGGTCATCTGGGGCGGGGGCGTGGTGATGCTGCACTGGCTGGGGGAGACGAGAAGAAGGTTGAGGGATTCGGGAAGCTCGGGACCGAGAGCCACAGCTGGGACCCATGGCAGAGCTGCTGCTACCCCCTGGAAGTCCACTGCTGCTGGGTCCACCCAGACCGCTTGCCCCAACATGGTTCCGTTGGTATTCAATGGGTGAAGTCAGTGCTGAGAAGACAACAATAGGCAAGTGTTAAATACTATAACCCAGTCATAAAAGACATTTTCTTAGGTGGATATAGAGTAGTGTTAAAAGTAAAGTATAATAGTAAAGATACGAACAATAACAAAAACTTCAAAAACATAGGTTTAGTCAGGGTTCCTCAATTACTTTTCGCCGAGGGCCAAATTCTGCCAACAATACCAAGCCAAGGGCCACTGACCTACAGTATATATATATATAATTGTTATTATTATTACAATTATTATATTATTGTTACTTTTGTTCAAATAATCACAAGATGGTCACAAGATGAATATTCAGATTTTTCCCCCAGTAGTCTGTTTTATTCAAACAATTATGAACATTTTTGCATTTAGATACAGAATAACTTAAAACATTAATATTAAAAACAAATGAACAAACAAAAAATCTGGATCTCCATGTCTGCCATGCAAATCAACTGTTCCTGCTCATTCACAGACTGGATCTCTTCTCTCCACTTTCCCTAATTGCAGATTCAATTATTAGATTTGTCAGTATTCATATTTTTGAATTGGGGGGGGGATCAAACTGTAACACTGTGTGTCCCAACCAGACACGATGCGATAAAAAGTATCTTTTCCATGTCGTTTTTGTCCTAACGACCCGCAACAGTGACACGTCACAATAAGCGACATGAGATTCTATTTTAGGAACGTTTTTTATTTTCTGCGACATCACGACAGGAACAACATACAAAATATGACAGTGATAATCTCAGTTAATGATTAAGTGTCTAGTGTGAGTTTGAATATTATTTTGCGTTATCTTTATAGCCATAGTGAAAGCAACAACAGATATTTTACCTCATATCTTGAAAATAAATTAAAGCAAACTTAATACGTACGTTAAAACTGTGAACTCACTGCGAACCAACACGTGTGTTCCATAACAAAGATATCACTCACTCACTCACTCACTCAAAACTGTTCAGTCCATTCACATTTGAATCATCTATTTTTCATGTCCACTTTTCTTTTCTACACACTTGCCATGTTTTTGCTGTCACATCGTATCTACACTGGACGCCACAAAGCATTGCAATTCATTAGAACGTTGTGTCAGTACGTTATAAATACAACGAGTCAGCAGTTTACTGTCGGGGATTTGTTGTGTCGCGCCGCATCCAAGACAGCATCACTGATTATAATGAGTTCTATTGTATTTTATTGCGTCGCGCCACGCTGCTTGCGTCCGGTGTAGACACGATGTAAGTTAATGTAGCTTTCTGATGCTGCGTTTAAATTTTCATGCCACATTATTTGAAATTAGCGTGGGCCAAAAAATTTTCTCTCACCTGCCGGATGTGGCCCGCGGGCCGCCTATTGAGGAACCCTGGGTTAAGCCAATTACTTGGTGGTTGTTCATAGTTCATGGGGCTTTACACCTACAACCTCCAATTTTGTAACCTTTTTGGAAACTCTAAAATTGTGTTACCATTAAGGAAGTTTCTCTGGTTCTCCAGGATGCTGCTGATCTGCTGGATCCAGGCCTGGCAAACCGCCCGGTTGGAGGAATGGAGCACATAGTGCTCTGTACTGCCAGTCGATGACCTTGAGGTCAAAATAAACTTACAAGGGTCATTGTCAGGACTCTCTTCTAGACCCAACCAACTGACCTGCAGAGTAGAGAGAGAGACAAGAGATAAATGTTTTTACTTGCTATACTGTGTCTTGAGCACAGTGTTTTCTACAGCAGTGGTTCTGTCTACACACCTTTATGCTGTTCTTAAACAGATAGCCCGGCATGGAGAAGCCCTTCTTTTTATCCAAAGGTTCACTGAAGATAACTATCTGCTCGAAGAGAAAGACGCGCCTCTCTTTCATGCGGGAAAGGAGACCACCATCCTGGTCTGAGACCATGAAGGTGTCCTGCAGAAGCAGTCTTCCCTGGGCTACAATTTTACCCTAAACACATACATAACAAAATAAACAATACTCAGTCCTCAGAACAATTCAAATTCCCTTGAATGTGCAAACATAAATACAAACTAAAGTACAAAACTGCACTAAAAAAAAGAATATTCACACAGTGAATAAGTACAGTCTAGTTTGAAATACTAGACTAACATGTTCCCATGTTTTTTAACTGGAGGAGTGGTCATTTTTTTATTTGCTCGGATAATTTGCTTGTGAATAATTTTGTCAGGCATCTAAACTCTTTTCTCAAAATGAGGAAAATTCACTGTCATTCTTAGTTTGATTAGTTTTTATGTGGAAAGGTTTTTTTTTAACTGGAGGAGTGGTCATTTTTTTATTTGCTCGGATTGTGAATAATTTTGTCAGGCATCTAAACTCTTTTCTCAAAATGAGGAAAATTCACTGTCATTCTTAGTTTGATTAGTTTTTATGTGGAAAGGTTTGTGAACAGCTTGTGGACATCCTGCTGATTTATGTACTACATACAACTGTTAATGGCTGTGCTTTTAGCTTCCCACCTACACGCTTACAAGCTTTCATAAATAAGGTAAGAGAAATGCATCTTACATCAAATCCTTGGAGGCGTCCAACATTCATCATGTCATTGCAGCGTTTTGGAACAACACACATCACCTCTACCGCTTTCTGTGAGAGAGCATATGTAGTTTAAACCTACAGTTTTAAATTTTCTGAAGAAAACATGACTGGTGCTTGTTTGTGTAAAATTTGTTAAAATAATACTTAAGTGTAGGAGATTGCTAAGGTGTTGCTAGGTGGTTTGCTAACTAGCCCAAGACAAAGTTTCCCACCTTCATGCCTATAATATTCTGGTCTGTAGATATGGCTATGGTTACAGATGATTTATGTTTTAAGCTTTATCATCTACTAGGCATAAATTGAGACTTTGATCAGATTAAGTCTTAAGGTTAGAAATGCCATACAGTTAGCAACATTTTTCCTCAAGCTGCATGATTTGAGATACAGAATCATTCATATTTGTAGCACAAATGGTGCTGGATGAGTCAATTGTCAAAGTTAAAAACTAACCCATGTCTTAACAAATACCCTTACCTCTGATTCTACAGTGTCCAAACCAGCCTTTTTGGAGAACTTGAGGAAATCCTACAATTAAGCAACGAGAACAATGATGAGAAACATTAATTTATGTTAGAAGATAGCGATCTTTTCTCAACATCTATTTATTACATAAAGATGGGTCAGTAGTAATGGAAGGAATGACTACTACTTGCTAATGATATTTCTCTGCCTGACCTTCAGCAGAAGCTGGTATTTCATGATCCGCTGCACTGGTTTGATCAGTAGATCAGTGATCTGTAGCCTGTGGCCCAACCTCTGTTTTAAATCCTGATGAAGATATAAAGAAAAAATGAGATAGTGTAGTTATGAGGCTGTCTCACTTTTTATGACTCATGTTTAAATGTCAGGCACGATGTAGGCAGTGACTTGAGTCTTACCTCAAAATACGTGTCAATATACTCTGAAACAATGTGCTCTGATTTGGGCTTGTTTTGGCAGTACACAATGTACATGTGCAGTCTTCGTTCCTGTAGCCAAAACAGAATTTCAGACAAAGAAGGTCAAAACGTACTCATTATACTAAGTAAGATTAAAAAAAAATGGATAGTTCCTGTCCTTGTATAATCATCTTGACTGGTCAATACAGCTTTCCAGTTGTGCTAAAACACACGATGTGCTAACAGCTATAATTCATCTCTTCACTAATCTATTGTTTATATCACATATTGACCACTTTCTTTTAGTGCAAGTATGGCACGTAAAGCAAAAGTTCACCCAAAAATGAAAACTGTTATAATTTTCTCAGCCTCATGGCATTCTAAACATGCATGAATGCTTTTATTCTGTGGAATGCAAAAGAATATATTAAAGGGGTCATATGACGTTGCTAAAAAATAACATTATTTTGTGTATTTGGTGTAATGAAATGTGTTTATGCGGTTTAAGGTTCAAAAAACGCATTATTTTCCACATACTGTAACTGTTCATTATTGTTTCTCCTCTATGCCCGCCTTTCTGAAACGCATCGATTTTTACAAAGCTCATCGTTCTGAAAAGCGAGGTGTGCTCTGATTGGCCAGCTATCCAGTGCGTTGTGATTGGCCGAATACCTCAAGCGTGTGACGGAAATGTTACGCCCCTTACCATATGTGATGGCGTGTCCCGGTGCGACAGATCAAAACCAATAAAATCCATTACAAATCCAGTGGGGACATAATTACTGATTATAATGATTTATACTGTCTTTTTACGCGTTGCGTTGCATCGCGCCGCGTAACCATAAAACCAAGTCTGCATTTGTGATCGGAGAAATGACAAACAACAAGTGCTACTCTACGCTGCTCAAAACTTGCGTTTGAATCGTCAGTAGCAAATTCTTTAAATATGAAAACGTACTTACAGGCTGTGAGTCAGCATTATTTGTCAGAAAACCGGCATTGTAGACTACTCCTCGTCCTCCGTAAAATGCTTTGCACACACACGAATATATGGGTTAAACTGTTCTGGAACAGTTTTGTAAATACAACTTAACCACTGATTATTAGTCGTGTCCTCTTTTGGAAGGCCAAACAAAGTAGTTTCGCTTTCACAACAAAACACACAGCGTCTCCACGACATGGCGGCGGCAACAATACTATTGTTAATACTAACAATACTATTGTTAATACTAACAATAGCGAGAATCAAAGTTACGCCTTCTTTCCGTGAATTTTGGGCGGTGTTATGCAAACCTTCCCACACAGTGACGTAGACGTGGGGGCGTCTTTAAACGAGGCGTTTTAGGAGGGCGTGGACGAGTCTTAACTTTTATAAAGAATATCTCTTTAGTCTTTGCAACTTTAGGGATCTTATCTATTCACAAACAGCTTGTAACACTCCAAAGAGAAAGGAAAACGTGAAATTGCATCATATGACCCCTTTAAACATTTTTAAATTATTCATTAGTAAATTACTCATAATTTGACCCCAATTCTTTTTTTTTCTTTTAAATTGTCTATTTACCACTTATATACATTTTTGAAAAGACTTCTATAATGTAATGTTTAATGCATTTCATGATGTTGATAACAAAGAATGTAATATATTTTTTTACAAAATATATTTTTTTAACTAGCAACAATTTTCATAATGTAATTTGTAATCAGTAATAGACTACAATTTGTAAGTAATCTACCCAGTATTGTATGCAGGTAAAGTAGAATGTACCATATACCCGACTCTTGATATTTCACTGGGTGATAATATAGTTCACATAAAATCAAAACAAAACAAAAACAAAAAAACAACAACAAATAAACACATTCTTCAAAATCTTATAGAGTGCCTCACAACTTCTTTTCTTTTAGCTGTGAATGCATTTACTTCTTTATGGATTAAAGGTGAAGTGTGCCATTTTTGGGGGTGTAAAAATACTCACATCTCAACTAAATATAGAGTAAAACAATTATATGTAATTCGTAGGTTGATTCACACTAAAGGTGTCAACACTATAGCTTTATGGTGTTAACAAAACATCCCAACCAGCCCGACACTGCAACATTATGTTTAAGTTTAGTTTGGGGTGGGACTATCCTTCACCTTTAAATATAACATAATTGCATAATTTTATTTAATGATATCTGCCAAACCCCACAATTAATAATTTCATACCTGTCTGATAAACAGGGGTGCGAGCCTATCTGGGTCTTCCAAGCACTTCTCTAGTTCACCAAGAAAGAAGCTACAAAGATGAGAGGTGTAACATTAATGTCAGGAAACGAAAGTAGGGGGTCTTGATGGTATTTACGAGAATGGAATCTAAGTGTGTAACTTTCACATACTCTTTATGCCAGTCATAAATCTGCTGAATGTTCCCAAAGACGATCTTATCTTTGCCTTTCATGTCGTCGGGTACACCCTCCTCCCTCATCCTGCTCATGTATCCCTGCAGGTGCCAGAACACATCAGTATGGTTACCATGGAGACAATGATAAGTAAAGCATGTGATCATACTCGACGACCATTCTGAATAAGCGGCAAATCCAAACCACTCTCATTTCCCGTGCCACACTGTGCCAACACAGCTGACACAAGGCATTCAGAGAGACACTCTTAACAATGTCAAACAAACCATGTGATTAATTCACAACAGATGTGTAACTCCTCAATAGATAGCTAGAGCACTGAACAAACAGAACTCAACCCTGACAGCAGCTGCCGATTATGATTACTAGAATGAATGTGTTCAGTTGCATGCGGTCACCATAGCAATCTCACTGTGGTATTCGTTAAAATAACTGACTATAAGCCCACCTCCACGACTGCACCAAGGTCTCTCACATAGTCTCTCTCTGTCTCCACCAGTTCCAGCAGTACATAGCTGAAAATGAAAGAGAAAAACACATTTGCATTAAAATCAAAGAACAATTCAAGATGGCAGGCAGAGTCAAAAGAAACATTGTATTTCATTCAGTATCAAAACGTATCAGAGAAAACATTTCTAATTAAGAAATCTAATTCAAATGTACCCAATATTTGAGTGTGCTACGCATTTTTATGCTTATTATAGTACTCTATAGGAATCAATGCTGTTTATATATCCTTTTCACATGACTCACATCAGTGTTCCTTAATGCACTGAACTCGATGGAATGAACCTTAAAGCTACAGCTAAATGAACTCGATTTGTTATAGAGCTATATAAATGAGAAGTTTAAAGTTCAAACTATTTCAGCTTCGACCCTGTTTGCTGATAAACTTTTAAAGCAAACACAATAATTACAAGACAATTTGCGTGGCATATCGTAATGTATAAAACATATGCTACCTGCCTTGAACCAGTTCTGATCTAAATTCAACAAGCAATCCAAGACGGTATGGGGGTCATTAAAAGAGTCACTCACGTTTGAGTTATTTTTACTTTCTACAATGTATTAAAGAGTCAGTACGACTCTTTTCTGTTCAAAACTTTTTTGAAAACTTTTGTCTTCTTTTGCCATTTATTTATGCACCATACCAGCTAACTAAAAACCTTTGTGATACCTCTCTGAACCTCTGTGACCTGCAGCACTTTTTGTGTAGAGGTCAAAACACTGACACTTGTGTTGAGAGAAGCTTGGAAGCTCTGATGTTATTCATGGTCCAAGTCAGTCACCTAAACGTTCCACACATGAGATTTAATTTTGGTGTGGCCGTACAACGACTATGTGTTTTAGAGAGCTAATATAACAAATATTTGAGGAAAATAAGACAGGAACACACTGTCGTCTCTTGAGGAAGCCAGTCTTGCGTTCGCCCATCTCGTCGATGGGAGAGGAGGAAGACAGGAAGGAGTTATCTGATGGGTTGAAAGAAGGACTACTGCTATCTCCTCGCTCAACAAGGAGAGAACTAGGCCTGTCCTCCAGACTCTGAGAGAGAAAAAGTGGACAATACAAAAACATTCAATGTAAAAAAAAAAATAAATAAATAAAGATGGACAAGCTGTGATCTCCTACAACTCTGTGATCTCCTACCATTTTGCTCTTGACGAGTTCCTCAATGGCGCTGACCAGTTCAGCTGCACTCGGTGTCTCTGAGCTGCTGGGACGTCCAGACAGACGGGAGGTAGCCTACGCAAAAGAGAAAAAAAGTAACAATCAGTTCATTTACATGGACAACAATACTCTACGATTGAGACAATACTCTGATTAAGAATCTACCATGTAAACAGAGATTTTTGATTACCTTAATCCGGCTAAAGTCATAATCGAAGTAAACAGAAATCGAATTAAGACATGTGAAGTATTCCTATTTTAGTCGCATTACTGAAGTTCAGAATAGACATGTAAACACCTTAATCACATTATTACTGTCGTGTAGGACTTTTCCCCACATTTTGTGATAGGATGCACACACGGCCGTGCTCAACCGTTTGATGGTAAAATAAAAGAGCTTCAACAACCGCCGTCGTCTGTATGCACGTACACATAATTAAATGCACTTGAGGCTTTCATAAAATTAAAAATGAAACACCCAGAACTGTACATGGCATCATCACAAAGATGAACTATATGTTTATACATGAAATTCCGGAGGGGACGTCGGATGGCGTCACGTGGGGA